TGTCTTTTCCTCCGTTGTTAATGAATCCGTTGTAGAATCTACAGTTGTTTCTATTTCAGTTGTGGATTCTTCAGTTGTTGCATCGACTGTAGATGTTGTGTTTTTCGTTGTTAATCCTTCAGTTGTTATATCAACCGTTGTGCTCTGCGTCGTTGTTTGTTCCACAGTGGTTTCATAGGGTGTTGTCTTCTCTTTCGTTGTTGATTCAGCGGTTGTTATATGAACAGTTGTCTTCTCTTCGGTTGTTGATTGTTTAGTAGTAGCATCAACCATTGCCTTTTCCTCCGTTGTTAATGAATCCGTTGTAGAATCTACAGTTGTTTCTATTTCCGTTGTGGACTCTTCAGTTGTTCCATCGACGGTAGATGTATTGTCTTTCGTTGTTAATCCTTCAGTTGTTATATCAACCGTTGTGTTTCGCGTCGTTATTTGGGCTACATAAGCAAAAATACATATTAGAAAAATATAAATGCAGACAAATTTATAAAATATGTATGAATTTAATTTAAAAGTGAATTATTTAACTGATATGGACTTATTTAAACTAAAGATGGACTAAACTAAAGATCGAAACTGTGCTCCAATTTCTGTACTGTTTTATCCGTAAATGGCCACACACTTTTTTCAAACCTTTTTTCACCTTTTTTACATGGATGTTTAATCTAGATAATAGACATGCTAAATAATTTCCAAAATATTCAAATTAACAAATTTGATGGGGAGACAATTTATTTGAAATCATAACTGGACATAAACAAGATAATCTGACAGGACAAATCTTTGCTTTGTTGCGCCATATCTACGTATATAGTGGATTAGCTCGATCCGCTGGTGGTTGTGGTTGTATTATAGGGGTGTACCAGCTATACATACGGTTGAAGTGTAGCCGAGCAGAAAGGTGCACGTATTATGTGTAAAATTTAAAATTAATCGAATGTATGGGGTTCGAATCTCCCGGGTTCGATTCTCCCTCTTGTTTTTTTTTATTATTATTATTATTAGTTTATAATTATTAATAATAATTTATTATTTGTATATCTATAGAATAGTTTTTTTTAAATATTTTATTATTTTTCACAATTATTTTTTTTATACAAAATTGGGATAGCAGATTGTGAGATATATGGCCAGAAAAATATTTAAAACATTATGTAATCTGCATCTTACTTCTTCAATCCATCCTAGCATCATAGTTATCAAGTGGTAAGCCCATTAATTGGGCCTGCACGCCGTTTGGACAAAGACCCTCCTTTTCAACAAAATGCAAAACGACAACCAAATAATATTAAGTGAGTTCCATATTTTAGGACCAACAGTACTGACACTAAAGCTTTTTTTTTTTTGCCTTTTTTAGTGTACTGTTGGGTGGTCTTAGTGTCTCTTTATTCCTAGTTGAATATTATGGAACTTGAATTAATATATTTTAATAACCAACCAAAGTTTAGAATTTAGGTTGTAATAAACATTGTACATGACTACACCTAGTTGTAAACTATTGATATTTTCTAGAGATACGGTAGTATATCATGTTTTTTTTTAATGTAGGCCCTCATGCTCTCAGAAAACATTTTCCAAGTTATTGCACATAACACTTTTTTTCAGGAGAAACTAATGATATTTAAGATATAAAGGAAAAGTATTGCATCAGATTAAGTTGCAATATCAGAATGTCGATTCAATGAAGGAAATAAATGGTTAGAAGATCTTTTAATTGTGTAAAATAAACCAGTATTTTTGCTACTTTATTATTAACAAAGCTTATGTGATTTTAAAGGAGATTATGCTCATCGATAAGAACACCAAGACATTTAGTGCAACTAATATGACCAATGCAGCAACCGTTAAAAGTAATTTTTAGGAATTTTCTTTTTTAGTGTGTGAAAAAATATATAATGGGTTTTATTATTTAATTACAGAAGGTTATTTTAGAGCCAGCTGTATATTTTGGTTAGAACATCAAGGTGTTTGTGAGAAAAGAAAACATTAGTATCATCATAAAAATATATAGGTTTCAAAATGTTTGTACAATTAGGAATATCATTAATATAGATTACAAAATAAAAGCGGACTAAGAATGGAGCCTTGGGGATCTCCATACTTTACTTTGAGACAACCTGAGCGTCTCTAACATTAATAAAAGTAAATTGCTGCCGGTTACTAATAAAGCTTTTAAATAACGAAAGAGCCGAGCCTCTAATGCCGTAATGTTCAAGCTTGTATTTATTATTAAGACTTTTACTGTTTAAATTATCTGCTCCAGCAGAATTGCTACTTTTCAGTTTGTTTTTTTTTTTTCAATTATTTCCACTTCATGTGTCCGCCTTAGAAAGAATGAAGGTTTATTAAAATAATTGCAGAATTGGTGTCATTTTTTGGAATTATTTTTGCTAGATTAGAGCTGTTTGCAAAATAATTATTAAGAAGTTCGCCACGTAATAATTTAAATCTTCTACGGCATTGGGGAGCATGTTTGATTTACCGTCTTTGCCCAGGGCTTCATTGAGTACATTTTGGGTTCTCTTCGAGTCACCTTTGGATGGACTGATAGCGTTGGAATAGGGGTATTGCTAAACCCCGCAAATCTCCAAAAAAACACCGAAAACCCCATCCAAACTCTGTGATAATAATTGAATCACATAGTATAGGACTCAACTTGGTATCTCAATAAAAAAAAATTATGTTCGTCACAACCTATTTTTGGGGTAAAAAGGCCATTTTTTGTATAAAAAAAAGTGCTACACCCTGCAAACCCCCAAAAACACAGTGCAAACCCCATCCAAACTCTGTGATAATGATTGAATCACATAGGTATAGGACTCAATTTGGTATCTCAATAAAAGAAAAAATCATAATTTTATGTTTGTCACAACATATTTTTGGGGTAAAAAGGCCAAATTTTTGTATAAAAAATTGCTAAACCCCGCAAACCTCCAAAAACACAGTGCAAACCCCATCCAAACCCTGTGATAGTGATTGAATCACATAGTACAGGACTCAACTTGGTATCTCAATAAAACAAATCTGAATTTTATGTTCGTCACAACCTATTTTTGGGGTAAAAAGGCCATTTTTGTATAAAAAAAATTGCTAAACCCCGCAAACCCCCTAAAACATAGTGCAAACCCCATCCAAACTCTGTGATAATGATTGAATCACATAGGTATAGGACTCAACTTGGTATCTCAATAAAAAAAAAAATCTGAATTTTATGTTCGTCACAACCTATTTTTGGGGTAAAAAGGCCATTTTTTGTAAAAAAAAAAAAAAATTGCTAACCCCCGCACACTTTCAAAAAAACACCGCAAAAGCCATCCAAACCCTGTGGTGGTAATTGAATAACATAGTATAGGACTCAACTTGGTATCTCAATAAAAAAAATCTTAATCTTATGTTCGTCACAACCTATTTTTGGGGTAAAAAGATTTGCGGGGTTTGCGGGGTTAAGCAATACCCTTGGAGTAGTACTTGTGTATTACTAAATTAAATTATGAGTTAACTTATTTTTATATTTTGTAATAACCAATTTTCTTTAATTGGTGGGGTTTTTCAGATACTTAGTATAAAGAGCATTCTTATTTTTTTTTTTTATTTTAATAATTTAAAAAATAATAATTTAAATGATAATATAAAAAAGAACAAAAATAATTGATTTTAAAATAGCCTTTGTAATCCATGAAGTTTTAGCTTTTGTTCTTGTTTTTTTTTTCCCCGAGCATCCTTGCAAGGTAGGTTATTATCAACCAAGACCGGAAATTTTGTAATGAATTTATCATAAGCAAAGTTTGGATCATGTTCATCATATCATTCTAATTACATTTTTTTGTAATTTGTAATAAATTAATTAGAATTGTGGAATATCAATTTCTCGGTTAAGTTTGGCATTAGAAATGGCAAAAACTGGTAAGTGATCAGAAATATCTGACAAAATAATACCGGATTTACGATAGGAGTTTTTCGGTGTGAATCAAACAAAGGATAAGCCAAGATTTGTTTTTAGTGGAGTCCTTCTGGTGGTGAAATTAGGCAGTATACCGAGAGACAATGCCCTACTATTTTTCAAAACAGAATCGATATCATTAGTAATAATGTTGTCAATTAAAGTTGAAGAATTGTGTTTTTGACCATTTACTATCCGAGTAGGCCTATCAATTAAAGAAAAGAATGTGGAGGAATTCATAACATTAAGGAAATCATTAACATATTTTTGATACGAGGCTTTTGATACGATCGATCATAACATTCTCTTATGGAATACGTGGCCCAGCCCTAGATCTTTTCCAGAGTTACCTTTCAAATCGTAGTTAAATTTGTACCAAATATTTTAACTCCATTTCTAATTAACTTCCCATTATACTTGCGGTGTTCCTCAGGGATCTTTGTTAGGCCCATTACTTTATATTTTATATATTAATGATATACATTTGTCCAACCTCCTTTCTTTTTTTTTGTACGCGGATGACACTACTATTTTTTATTGTAACAAAAACATTCAAACTTTATGTGACACTGTTAATGCCAACCTTATCTCCCTGTCTAAATATTTTTCAGCCAACAAACTTTCAATAAATCACAATAAATGTAACTTCATTCTGTTTCGAAGCCCCCAAAGTCAAAATTTCATGACCTTTCACCCTTAAAAATCTATATCAATAATCATGTCATACCAAATGTTCAGTATACCAAATTCCAAATGTTCAGTATACCAAATTCCTAAGGGTCTATCTTGATTGTGGTCTAACATGAAAGAAACAGATTAACGAAATTGAAAATAAAGTCTCCAAAAGCCTTGGTATCATTTTTAGATTATCCTCATTTGTTCCCCTCAATGTACTACTTTACTGTATTGCTCGTTAATTCTTCCTTATCAGAGCTACTGCAACATTGTATGAGCTAATACCTACCCCTCATACTTAAATACACAACATATTAAAAAAAAAGTCTATCAGGATTATATCTGGTGCTCCACCGCGGTCTCATTCCTGTACTTTATTCTCAATTTTAAATTTGCTCAAACTCCCTGATATCAACTCTCTACAACAATGTATTTTTATGTATGCATCCTCTCACTCCATTTTACCAAAGTACTTCTGTGTTATCTTCAAATCTAATTCCTCTCTACACAATTACTGTACTTGAGGTAGATATGATGTAAAAGATGTATACATTTATAATCATAGACCACCTATTTTCAACATAATATTAGATTTACTGGTCCTAAACTATGGAATTCTCTTCCTCCCCTTGTTGTCGATTCCATTTTAAAGTCATTTCCTATCCAGCTCAAGAAACACTTTTTCCTTTTCTCATGAATTCTTTATGATCTTGTTTTTTTTTAATTTTTTGTACGAATTGAAAAGGTATTAAATAAATGTTACATTGAATTGAATTGAATTGAATTGAATCTTGGACTTAATAATAATGTGTATAATAGCATCAAAAGCGCCTTCAGCGTCAAGGGAACATGCTAAGACAGGAGAGCCACAGTTATTACAATACCTAATGCCATTAAC